GGAGAAAGAAGCTGCACCGCTATGCTATGGATCGAAATCAGTAGCTCTTCGTGAGTCGCTGCGGGTCGGTCTTCTATGCCAAGCGTGTCACCCTCGCTCCAAACGACACACATCTCAGCCTCAACCATCACTACAAAACGGTCCTTTTCAGGGCCACCAAAAATTTGTCAAAGAGTATTATTTGGACATTGGTCAAGGTCATCAGTTCCCACAAGCAGCAAGCTATCAAGGCTCAACCTTTCTATAGAAGGTGTGGAATTGTAGGCCTAAATATGTTGGTGCAATTAGTTTTTCCTCGGCTTTCATTCCGCACGATTCGTTTCTTTCGTTTAATCAATACCCCCTTGTAGTGACGTCAAAAAGATTGTTTCAATCGGCGCTTACATATGATCTATAGAATCCACGCAATTTCAAAAAACCAAAATGCACAGCATTACGAAAAGAGGTCAGGTTTCGACCAATAGCAGATAGAGTTTAATTCTAAACAAGCCAAACGATTGGAAATTTATCTACCAATCTGTTAAAATGAACACTTAGTTAATTTTCAATAGGTCACTATTAAAAAATACCAAATGTCCAACTGTTGCAATGGTGATCAAAATTATCACCGTATGTCTGAAAACAGCGCATTCCCTAACACAGACTTAAAAATCGAATTCGATGCGGTCCCACAGGTCAGAGTTAGTAATCTTCTTAAGGTGAGCCGTGTTTCTGTCATATGATTTTCCGCTTTCTAGATCTTGCACGGTAACACGAGTACCGGACCTGGATACTACTACGTATTTCTTGGGATTGAATGTTGTCTGCAGCTTGTTGCCTGGTAGAAGATTTTGCATCAAAACTGAATCACCCACATCTACCGACGATCTCTTCGCACTTCGTCGCATCTTCATGATCCTTCCCTTTTGTTTTCGACTCCAAGTCTCTATCTGCAAAATCTTCTTTAGGTATCTTCGATCGGATTGTTCGGCCGTACAGAAGTTCTGCTGGTGTTCGACCAGTAACGGAATGCGGTGTGATGTAGTACATCACTAAGTAGTCCTGTAGACCCTGTTTCCAATCTCTACCCAAAGCATTGCTTATTTGGAGTCTCTTAAGAAGCGATCTGTTCTGTCTTTCGACGAGACCATTCTGTTGCGGCCAATAAGGTATCGAATGGTTCAGATGAATTCCGTGTATCTTACTGTATTCCTCCAATTCAATACCTACGAACTGTTTAGCGTTGTCTAGCGTGATTTTCCGAGGGTATCTCAAACGTGTGAAAATTTTATCCAATCTAGATACCGTATCTCTCGCCGTTATTTTATGCATCAATTCGACTTCCTTATAACGACTGTAGTAGTCAATTATAACAAATAAGTATACTCCGTCCGGCATAGGCGATGTCCACCCACGGTTTATTAGGAAGCGGACGGCGTGACATCGGTTCTGGTTTATTTGGGACAACCTTCACAAGCTGTTACATAATTGGTTACTTCGCGATCCATTCCTGGCCACCAGACTCGGTCCCTGAGACAACGCTTCATCACGGATTCTCCGGGATGTCCAATTGGAGCATTCTAGATCGCAGATTAGCTGGCACAACGAGTTTGCTTCCACGAACAACCATATCTCCTACCAAACCTAACTCATCACAAAACGGAGCAAAAGGTTTAACTTCAGGCTCGTTCCATGTTCCCGAGTTCATTGATGTTTTAACCAGCTCCAAAACTCGATCTGACTTCGCTGATTCCTCCAATTCCTGTACATCAATAGCCGCTGACTCCAATATAGCCAACACCATACATTTGTTCTCCGCGTCAAATTTCTCAGCAGCGTTGTGCTCAACTAAACGAGACAAAGGATCGGCTTTATTGTTTACTCCTCTGCGATATTTCACAACAATTGTAAAAGACTGGAGACGAAGAACCCAACGTTCGATCCATGGACATGGCCTAGAAGTTGGATTGAAAATCGCCTCGAGGGGTTTGTGGTCAGTCTCAAGCTCAAATTTCAACGAACCAATCTGGATCAACAATAGAAAAGGGTCCATCAGCATTTGTAAACAAACCGTTCCAAAGCCCATTCCTCATAAATCGAAGGCCGCTCACACAAACCAACACCATCATCGTGTAGGTAGAAGTTTCCCCTATCTGATGATGGTGTTGGTTTGCGTGGGTGGCCTTCGTTTCGTGAGTAAAGGGCTTTGGAACGGTTTGTTTACAAATATTGATGGGCCCTTTGCTATTGTTGATCCAGCAATGACAGTTCCCTCTTCCTCAGGCCCGTACTCCAGGGTAGTCACTGGGTAACCAAAATCACCCTTGCTAGCAAGGCCGTACTCGGGTACCACAACTTCCATTGCCACATTGCGATTATATTAATTTCATGATTTTTTTTATTCATGAAAATGGAATCGGATTTGTTTCCGTGAAAATTTTCATCTATACTTTTCCGCCAATACAGTAAAGACCCATTTTTTCAGCCACCTTTTGGAAAATTTTGTGCAATATTCTACGAAACTCATGCGCTTTTTCAGTAGTCCTATCACCGACAAACAGACATGAAACTTAAACTTAACTCGAGAATTCATAACGCCGGATTCAAATGTATAGCGATCCCATCTGTCAAAACCATAGAAATGTGTTATCTAGATAAAAATAATTTACCCGGAATAGATTAGACACGAACCAACTCATACATTTTGTATGTGTGTTCGTGGCTAGGATACACATTTTTCGCGAACACGGCGGCAGATGTCAGTTTTGTGCTTTGATCAGAAATTTGATGATACTTTGTATGGTCATTCATGTCGGTTTGTCGGTGGTCCTATTGCACTAAAGTATATGTGCACAGTTCGAAAAAGTAGTGTAAATTTCTGTTTAATATGATGCACATAAATGGAGCGTCACATATCATATAAGTTTACATTATATATCATGTAAAGTTCTGACACACTTCATGCAATGTAGCAAATATTATATTCCAAATCCCATCTTTGTAAACAACATTGTTTACATGTTGCTCGGTTGCGTGAAATGAAATACAAGTCTACGTGAATGAATTTTTACCTGTGTATACCTTAAACATACATCTTGAAGATAAGTGAGCATGATTTGGAATTACGGTTGGGGCCTCCCTTAGCTTAGTCGGTAAAGGCGCAGCTACAAAGCAAGACAATGCTGGAGGTGGCTGGGATCGATTCCATTGCCACACCATAAGACTTGATTAGTTTTCCAGTCGAATGCATTTTAAAGAATAAAAATCGAACAATGTTCAACGAAGTTTCAACAGCCCAAATTTGGACAAAATTTTGCTAGAACCTATAATTCGCACAACCCCTTTATGTTTTTCATAAATGAGCAAAATTTCAACTCTTTTGCCTCAAAGTTCTTAAAAATAAAGCAATTTGAAAAAAAAAGTTTTCAAACCAGAAGAGATTTACTAAAATTGCTCAAACTGCCGACAGACCCAATCGATTAAGCCCAAAATTGTACAGATAAACTTTGAATATTCAGTAGTCAGCGGTCAAAATTTCAGAAAAAAATACATCCCTTTGAAATTTATAGAAGAAAATCTAAATTTGCTACTAAATTTTGTAATACAATTTTTTGAGTTGTTTTACTAAAATTAAAATTGTTTTTCATCACTACACCACGTGAACTTTTATTGTAGTACGAGTTGATTGAATGCTTGATTCGCTAGGCCTTATAAAGGGTTAAAAGCTTCTGTAGAGCAAGCATTTCAAAGAACGTAAACTTTCAATGTTTACATTAAAACCGTTTACATATTGAAATTTTGTTTATGTCCCAAGAACCTTAAAATTCCGGTGAAGCATAAAACCCTCGCTGCAGATGTGTCACTTCCCGATGAACTAATGTCCCGCTTAAATATGCATACCGGGTTTATTGTCCGAAGTGCAGAATCAGGAAAGCCGTCCCTAATTTCTTTGCTCCATAAAACAAAATACGTTCATTAGCACTGGTTGGACGCTGGACGGTGTGTGCGCAAAACCTCGACCTAGAGCCAGGCATTCCGAGCGCAGCTTCAATGAATGGAAAAATCTGCTTACTTGCACTCATTACGCTGCTCGGTTGTGACTAGCTGACGCAACAACGTTTGACAAATGTCATTCAAATTGGGACGGGCAGCGGGTTGAATCAGGCCATTACATGCACCGCGTGCTCACAATGAACCCTCTCCATCGGCAGGGCAGGTACTAAAAATACCGACTGACCTGAATATATTCAAATCACCACCACCCAAGATATTCATGTTCCGGAAAACGTTAGGCACAGAGGTATGAACTCACGACACTTGGCGGCCAGTTGACAGCCAAATTGGTTTCGCACGGAAGCGTGACGTTCGCTCGGAATATCGGACATCGGAGTCAGCTGAGCTGTACGTACCGAGAATTAGGCGTAATTTGGTGACAGCAACTATAAAAGCATTAGCTCATCGGCCAGACAGTTCGGTGAAAACGTTCAAATTCCACTGGGCACTCCGTTATTGTTCATTGTCATAGATAAAGACGTATTAGCCCGCGAGAACAACATTTTTCGAATCATCCAAGCGCGGGTGATAAGCAATACACATTCTTCATTCCGCATGTATCCATCGCCAGCAGGGTGCTGCTACTGGTCCCGTTTTATTGTGCATTCTCTATCATACAGATAGCTATGGACATGCTTTTCCAGTGACACCTTATTCTAAGAACTACAGCACTTCCAACGTTTCGCCATGGACGAAACTTCGGACAAAAGCTGCTGTGATCACATTGAGCACTTCCCCAGCTCGCACAACTGATAAGCCTACCCTACACGTGTTCAAATTCTTGTTTTAACTCGACAAGCTCCCGTAAGGTCTCGACGATCCAAACAAAACTGCGGCCGACCTTCGCACCGAGTTGACCAACGCCTCGATAGACACCATGCCGGCAGCGGTGTGTACACCTCGCACACAAAACACGCACACACATTTTGTCAACTGTCAACAAGAAACAAATTCAGTAACCAAATTACCAGCATTTTACAGTTTTCGATGTTTCGTCTGCTCCCCTCCTCTGGGTGGCCCGCGTTACGTCGTTGCTTCGCCTTTTAACTATCCCGCGAAAATCAAACAATTTCTTCCTAATATTTACACTGAGCACGCATCAATGCATTCACGACAAGCTAGGAGAATTGGGAGGTGGGCCTGACACCCTCCAACCAAGCAACCGACCGACCGACCGACCGACCGACTTCACCCCTCGAATGATAACTGAACCGGTTGCTTCTGCTCACAGCATGAGTTATATTATGGATGATGATCGCAGCGTGTTCGCGAATAGTTTCCTCCAACACTATCACCCTGCAAACTATCCTCCGGTGGCGACTGACTGATAACGCGAGAACTGTTCGAAGGGATGGCGTGTGGAACTCGTTCGCTCACTTATTTCTTCCCCCGGACGAATTTACTAGGCGCGAACGCTATGACAACACCCCATCGGACGGACTATTCGCGCGCGCGACAAAATTCTGCGAGGAACTGAAACAATTAAAAGCGCGTCCCAGTGCTATATAGGCATGCCCGGGCAGCTCCAGCCTCGCCTCTGCTCTGGACGCCGTTGGGTGGTTGATGGTTTCAGCAGTAGCGACGTTCGGTTTTGTCGTATGCGGCGAGAGAGCTTGACCACACCACCCGAAAGGGTTGACGACAGTTACTCATAGGGGTGTCATTATCAAAGTGATGGGCTTTGAGTGGTCCCCAAATTGGATTCAGGTGAAAACTAGATGGTTGTTGAGGACAAATAGATGCTGTGTTTACAGAGAAGTAGGCGTAAGTAACAGATTACCGAGTGTCATCTTAGCTCCCGATGTCTCTGGAATTGACTTCAGTGACGGTTCAAGTTCAGTGAGTCACCGAGATGTCAGGATGGAGCAACCCACTACGGATAGTACGAGTATGTTGACCAGCTTACTTTTACCACTTAAGTGGACCCCACACGACAGAAGCTACGCAAAAAAAATCGATCTCCGAAATGAGAAAAATTACTCATGATTACATGAACACAGCGTATTTTCATGTTATGAAAATACACCTTGAATAATTTTCATGGTATCATGAGCAATTTTTGCGTAACGTAGTAAAGCTTCCCGAAATCATGAATCATCCGAGTTGAAATCATGAGCTGAATTCATGAATTTGAGTTTTAACTTTAAAACCAAGAATAAAATAAAGCATCCGACTGGATACGAACCAAGAACCTTGCGATCATTTTCATTTCATGATTTTTTATTCATGAAAATGGAATCGGATTTGTTTCGGTGAACATTTTCATCAATACTTTTCCGTCAATACAGTGAAGACTTATTTTGTCAGTCCTCTTTAGGAAAATCTTGTGTAATATTCTACGAAACTCATGCACTTTTTCAGTAGTCCTATTTCACTAAAGTTTTTATACCTTGTTGATGCAAACTACCTCAGTTGGGAGCGATCCTGAGAATCCCTGACTACAATGGCCTCAGGGTCGGCACGCTTACCGAACTAGGTTTCCACGTGGCAAGGAATGATCGCACTGGATACAGTAAAAACTCCTACAGCACTTCAATATTCCAAATTACCACTTTTTACTGTCGGATTCTACTGACACTTTTATTCCTCCCTACGTATGTAACACTCCCACTTTCTTAATTTCTATCTGACCTGTTTCTGTTGACTTTCCCTTCTTCTTCGGGCCCCTTGCAGATCCACCACCACGTTTCCTCGACGACTGCTTCGCTCGGCTCCACGTTCCACCTTCTTTCTTTTCTCCTTCGGCGGCGTTGGAAATCTCCTTCGCGCGCTATTCAACTTCTTATGTTGGCTGGGCCACCGAGTGTGTTGACGGACTCGGCTTCGGCAGTTCGTGCCGGAATTGTCCTTACTTGGCGTCGGAGGCGAACCAGCCTAAGGCTGAAAGCCTCCTAAATAAAGCTAAATTAATTAATTAATCCTTACTTGGCTGGAGACTGGCGTAGCCTACCGGTACGTCTACCAGGTATACCTTAACGGTTCTGTCTAAAAATTACAGCGGGGTCCTGCTGTCCGATTTTTCCTCTCACTCTCTTTTACTTTCCTCTTACTATCTTCAACTATCTTCTGTCTGCACAGTAATGTTTGGTATTTTCTAGGCTTTGTCTTGTTTGAATATTTCACCAGAGACTTTATCAACAGTTTATCTTGATGGTTCTTTGATGGTAGACCTGATCGGTGTATGTAGCCTAGAAATACGTTCTTTGGGTCACTGTCCTTTGACTATTGGTCAGTGACCCAGGCCATTCGTTTTCCACTGCCAGTCATCGTGTCCGTTAAGCCGTTCATAATGGCCTTTGTTGTCGTCACCTCTCATGGCCGCCTAACCTGCTGCTTTTACTCCATCTGGTGGTGGGTTTTGTAGACTACGGTGGGTGGATGGCTGCGTAATACGGTAGGCTACTCTATCCCTTAGCTCAGTCGGTAAAGGCGCAGCTACAAAGCAAGACCATGCTGGAGGTGCCTGGGTTCGATTCCCGATCCGGTCTAGGAATTTTTTGGGTTGGATTTCTTGACTTCCCTGGGCATATAGTATGATTGTACTTGCCATTGCCACCCAATACTAATGCAAAAATGGCACAGGCATCGAAAGCTCTCAATTAATAACTGTGGAAGTGAATCAAGAACACTAAGTTGAGAGCACGCAATAATCTAATATGCGATAAGCAATAAGCTTGAAATGCGAGTTGGAATTACGGTTATGTAAAATTATTAACAGATGCACGGAGGAAACTGACAAAATCGGGTTATTACTGTACATCGCATTGCGCAATGGTCCCAAAGCCGTATTCAGGAAGACAAAAATGTTCACGCTCAAACCGTTTGGTTTAGGTGTATTGTAATTTTATATATTTTTTGAACAAATTTTTTAGGTAAGTGACATTATCCATATGGTAAGAGAGTCCAAAATATGATTTGACGCGGGACTATGCCTTTCTTTACTACACTATCGATTAGGAAATCGAAAATGAGGCTTGTAACGAAAATGGGGGGTGTTTTCAAACGCATATTTCTCAAAACCATTCATGGGAAATATGTCATGCAATATGTCATTCAATTAAGAAATTTAACGAGATAGCCAAATGTTCTCGCGAGCTGAACTATGGAAATGAAAGTGGATGGTTACATGGGACCAGTAACTTAACACCTTCAAAATGAAGGGTCACTGGTACAGTTTTTGTCCGGCCAAAGACTCTTTACTCCGGGCAGGCTGTTTTTCCCAGCTTACTCGAATTTTCGTCTAGCACAACAATCTAAACCAACCCAGGCATTAACAATAAAGGAAACTAATTTCAAACCAATAAAATATGTAGCAAAGGAAACTAAGCAGAACCAAAGAAAAGTACTCAAAAAGAACCTTCCAAACAAAATTCGAGTTATATAATGGAGACGCGTCGATCTTCGGTCCCAAGCTAATCGATGCACCCCTCGAAACATAGGAAAATCCATGAATCCCTCATTTTATCTGTCAAACTTTCATAGCGAATCAAAACAAATATATTCAGATGACCAAATCTTACCAATAGAAATTAATCAAATCTAATTCTAACTTATTTCCCAAACAAATTAATTGGAAATGCAAAATTCAGGGTTTTTTTAAAAGGATTTAATTCGCGAAAGAGTGTAAATCAAAAACTACGGGCTGAAGGCACCTAACTTCTAATTATCTTTATATTTACAGATTTGTACAATTATTTACAACCTTGGCGAATGGCTACGAGCTCGATTTTTAAGATGTGCACACAGAACCTTCTTACTTGGGAACCGATGTGGCTTCCAAGTCTCGTGATGGCGTCGACGCAGTGAAATATCTCGGTGTGTTTCCCAATCGCCGTAGTCTAGCGTGGCCGGATTCTACGGGTAAATTTTCGCCCCGGAATCGAAGTTGGTGGTTTGCTGCTTGCCACCTTGCGACGACCAAGTGTACGAGCGGCACGAACGGGACTTGGTCTATCCAGACTATTGAGCAGCTACGACTCTAAATCACACTCTTCGTTAATTTTGAATTGACTTCTGAAGTTCAGATGTTCTGAGAAATCGGATAGCTCTGAATGATTAATCATGCAATGACGACATGGTAAATTTGCTCAGTGTACACTTGAATAGAACATTTCGACAGTGAGCATTAGAGTGATGCAAAATTTGAAATTTTCGCTCCACAATACTTAAACGATTCCAAATCTGATCCTGACTAACCTCTCAAAATTTGAACCCATTTGGTGAGAAACTGAGATGGCACAAACCATTTGAAGTTTGTATGGGAATTACTATGGTAAAACCAAGATTTTTGTTCATGTCTATCTAATAATTCACCATATCGGTTTGCTTCAAAAACTTTCAATTGTACTTGTAGGAAATTTGCTACCAGCTACAACTTTGCTGAAGACCATTTTTTGATGAAATGCAAGGATCGAAAGTTATCAATTGTTCAATGCGCTGATGTCTTATGATCATGCTCAATCAACTGATCAGCAGGCAACATTGGTGTTTCTGGGGCGTTGAATAGGACACAAAAATCATGGCTACTATGTCACACTGCAAAATACAGTGTTGCCTACAGAGCAGCTGCTTGATCATGTCATAAGTTTACCAATCTCTTAAATAATTAATAACTTTTTCCTGTCTCGTTTTACATAGAAACGATCGTCAGCAAAGTTGTAGCTGAGAAAATTTTCTGTAAGAATTGCTATCGAACTGTTTCGCAGCTCAATATGGAAAAAGACTAAAAGGCAATGAACAAAAAGTTGAGATTTCCCATAGTAATTCACATGTAAACTTCAAATGGTTTGTGCGAAGCCTGTTTCTAACCAAATGAGTTGTAACTTTTGGAGGCTAATCAGGACCCGATTTGAAACCATTTAAGCACTGTGGAGCGAAAAAGTCAAATTTTGCATCAGTCTAGTGAGCATGTATAAGGGTGTAACCAACAATCAATACGAAACTAACGATTTTAAATTGGCTCACTACTTGACTAGCCTATTGGTCCCAAGAAAACGATTAACGTACCCCATTCTAGTCTAAACTCTAGTACTACACTATGTTTGTTTTCATTCGCTATGAAAGTTTGACAGATAAAATGAGGGGTTAGTTGATTTTCCTATGTTTCGAGGGGTGAATCGATTAGCTTGGGACCGAAGAGAGTACCAGAGCTGAGCCAAAAAGTTGTGAACGTTTCTTCGGGACCTTCTGGTCTTAGAGTTACCTCTATGCTACAAGGCACCATAACCTTTTTTGTAGTAGCAGCCCATTCTGGCGGTAAAGGAGGTTACTTTTCACCCCACCTAGTATAATCATAGAGGTGTTGGTATAGTGTTCCAGCTTACTAAAGGATCCCAATAGCCAGAGGCGTTTCCTTAAGCTCAATTTACCTGTGCACCAACTCTCAAAACATAAACAATTATCAAAATATTGCTTCACGCAAACCAAAAATTTATTACAATGAATGTTAGTTCCACT